GGTCGTTGTCGGCTTCCCTGGCTTTTCGAGGCTCCAAAACGACCCGAATAATGAAGGGGCCTTGACAATTAGTCTCGGGCTCCTTTGTAGTATAGTCATAATCAGGAACCCCAAGGAATAATATTGGTAAGTATTTCGGCTTCTTCAGCAATAAAGGTAATCCTGGAACGATGCCAGCCAGTCTCAGAAACTCCGGGTAGCTTCGTGGGCTTGAGGCTGAAACTGCACTGGAAATAGCGTGTAAGCTTATTGGGTTTTGCATATTGGGTAGCTGCCAGCTTTGTATAATTGCACAAACCCCAGGGCATTGCGTTCAGAGAAGGCAGCTTACTGTTGGGGTTCCCGCACGGTTGGGCCTGGCTCCCGGATTGCTAGGGTTTAGGGTTTAGGGTTTAGGGTCTGCAAAGCCTGCCTTTACCTGCCAACTTTTCCTGCAGTGTCCCTATATCAAAACGAAAACCTACACGAAAAAGGCGCTGTAATTACCCTGGACCCTATATCACAACATCTCATAGTAAGGTAACATACGAAAATGTATCCTGAACCCTAAACTTTATGTCATAACATATCGTAGTAAGGAAACCCTAAACCCTAAACCCTAAACCCTAAAGGTAGCTTGTAGTACATCTTAGGAAGGGCATGCAAAGCTTCAGAGTTGTCTCGCAGTCTGTCATGTGCTGTTTAAGCATGTAACCCATTAGGGTTGGGAACTCACGTAGAACTTAAATTGCACTTTGAGGTCTACTTAAAGATAGGACTTAGTGAGTAGGGTTATAACTCAGGTAACTATACTTATAACCCCAATTAGGGGACTTGTAACCTTACTTACTAAGTCCCATGATCCTCCAAGTATTCTTTGCAACTCAAATGGCAGCCGCCCTCAGATTGACCTCACTTCGTTGATGTGGATCACGTGCCACGACCTAAACCCTAAACCCGAAAGCTTGAATGCCCGAAGTCCATTGAACTGCAATCCCAACCGGCTTCTCGGGCTTAGGGTGTAGGGGCTTAGGGGTCACAAAAAACACCTAGGACCAAACTCTAAACCGGCGTCTTTCGGGGACAGAGTTCGCAATAACCAATGTAAACCCCAAACCCTGAACCCTAAAACCGTAAACCCCTATATAAACCCTAAACCCCAAAACCCTAAAATTCTGAACCGAGCTTTGCTGGCAAAACCATCCTGAAGTCTGGCCCACCTCCAGGGAAACCATCCGCAACACTTCTTCCGGCTCTCTTCCTTGGTCTCATATGCAAGACAGCTTCGGGTTAAACTAGGTTTGTTTTTTTGTGTGTTTCTTTTCTTTTCTTTTTTTGGAGGGGGGGGTGGGGTTTAGGGTCTTTTTGGATTTTTGGGCTTTAGGAATTTTATAGGGCTTAGGTCCGTGCAGCAGCGATGCAGGTCTTTACTCTTTCGCTAAGAGGACATATATAGAAACAACCCCTCTAACTTCAACGTATATGCTGTATAGGTACTTGGGCCCTTATGGGGTTTGGGAGTTCTTATTTGCTTGAGAACCGCTTTTTGGGGCTTTCTGGGCTAAGGGCTGGAATACTGCAGACCAAACGCTTCTCAACCCAAAAGCCCTCCACCTCCGGAAAACAAATCCGCATTCAGGATCTAGGGTGTTGCCTGTATCAAACAGTGGGGCCTCTGAATGTTCAGGATCCTTTCTGCGGGGGCAACTTATAGAAGGATACATATTTATGGATCTTTACGTAGACTCTTGTCCTTATACAACCATCATACAGACGTGGCATGAAATAGGTTAGTTGACGGGCCATGACAGCCCCAACGGTATATTATGCCGGGGCCTGAATACAAATCAGAATAGGGTTTGGGTTATATTGTACTGTAGTCGTTGCAATGAGGAGCTCTACAAGAAGGAGCATATTTCTCATAGTGATAAATTACATGACGAGCGGCATCCTTTAGCGCATCTGCGTCAGATCGCACGCTCGGCACGTTCCGGAACTGCCACAGATCCGACCTCAGCCGGCGACGCTCTGAGACCCGAAGTAACCAAACTCCCCCCCCCCCCTAAACCCTAAANNTAAACCCTAAACCCTATTTATAAACCCTAAACCCTAAACCTTAATCTTGACCCTTAGGGCGTGTAGCTCGATAACGAATCCGAGACCTTCGGCCCTGCAGCCAACTCCCGAAAGCCCCAAACCCACATTCCCTAACAATGCGCAGGTTTAGGGTTGAGGGTTTAGGGTTTGGGGTTTAGGGTTTAGGGTTCAGGGAACCCACATTCCTAACAATCTGTATCTGAATAGCTTGCTTTCTTAGACCCTTATCAGGACAAGGAGCCCTTTTATATTATACTGTTCACATAAAAGGTTTTAGAGCGCCCATGTAATGGCTGTTTTCTTTTTCCTCAACACGGGGTCGCACAGGGGCACTGCAAGGTCAAAGTACATACCATACAGGAACCCTAAACCCTAAACCCTAAACCCTAAACCCTAAACCCCAAAACCCTAAACCTAAACCCTAAACCCTAAACCCTAGAACCCTTCATCCCACACCCTGGGGGTATGTACGCCTGAGGGTTTCAGTTTCAGGAGTTCTAATTCCGGTAGGAAACCCGGTTAAGGTTTAGGGTTTAGGGTTTAGGGTTTAGGGTTTAGGGTTTAGGGTTTAGGGTTTAGGGTTAACCCTCGGATTAGCTTTCATACAATGTCAGTATCATATTGCCTTAACTGCTCAATAGGCACACTCAAATGGTTCAACAGTTCACAGCATCCCGTGCACGTAGATGTACATGGTAGTCATAAGTCTAAGAATGTTCACTTAGTTTGGTGATGAGTGTTTCGATTTGGGTTTCTGTCGCAGCTTATCATCCGTATGCATTTGTCTCCACACGATTAGGGCGCCGGTTTGCACATAACTGGATATCCAAATGGCTGAACAGCTTGTGTTTATACTACCTGCTGGAAGGATTCGCCTGGGCCGCGTAGTGTGTAAATACATCTGGTGTGCGCGAATAATGCGGTCTGTAGCGGAAGGCTGTCAAAAGCAAACCAGCCACAGTTTTGGAATTCGCAAAAAGCTTTAGGAGTAGGAAGTGCATATCGAATGCTTCGTGTGTTCCTCGCTGTCAAACTCTCTGTGTGCAGAGAATGTTCATGTGGCAACTTCCGGGCTTGGCCAAGGCAAAGGCATGCCATGCCAGGGTCTTTTTGCTCGCAGAGTTGCAAGATTGCGATTACGCAACCTCAAAGTGGAAGCTCTGAAATACCTTTTTTTGGAGAGTGGCCTGGTGGCGCTTGAGCTGGGCATCAGGCAAGAACGGAAGAGAGGGAGGGGGGGGGGAGGGGGGGGGCTGGCTACTGCACTGGGCTGGGCTGGTCATGCGCTGGAGTCAAAAACCCCTAAACCCTATCGTACCCTACCTTAAGCCTTAAGAACCCAAAACCTACTTTTTTGTACGGTCCCTATAAATCCCATATTAGGGTTTATAATAAGAACCTACAAAAAAGTGGGTTTGGGGTTCTTAAGGTAAACCCTATAAACCCGAAACCCGCGGCTGGAGTTGCGGGGCAGAGGAGGCGCAGTTGTAAACATATGTGTAAAGAGGACTTACATGCGGTTAGAAACATGCGGACATTCCCAAAGCGTCAAAACTGCCTTTATGGAAAAAATTGTAGGGTAGCCAAACGGATTCTGGGTGCAACGGAACCCTCCAATAAACAAAATACGTGGGATACTCCGGGAAAGCCGAAACCATCCTAAACCTAAGCCCTGAGCCCGGCATACAGAAGGGGTCATGGGACCTACCTGGGGATCCAGAAGCCTACCGCTTTAGGGTTTTAGGGTTTAGGGTTTAGGGTTTAGGGTTTAGGAGGGTTTAGGGTTTAGGGTTTAGGGTTTAGGGTTTAGGGTAAAAGGTTCTACTGTCAGGGTTTGTGGTGTGGGATTTGGAAGGGTGCGACTGGGGAAGCCATAGTGCTAGCCGAGTGGCAAAGAGTCCTCGCAATTCCTGGCAGCGACTGACTCATGGTGCATCCCTAAACCCCTAAACGCTAAACCGTGGCCCTCGAAGATAGTTTCTTGTTCGGCACTCTAAAACCCAAGAGCCCACGCTTGCAGCCTTAACCTTACAACGACAAACACAAATGGAGAGCCTCAAGTAGCTAAAAAGGGTTCAGGCTAGGGCTCATTTTTAGGATCTATAGGGTTTATGGTTTAGAGTTTAGGGGTTTAGGGTTTAGAGTTCAGAGTTGACCTACAAGGGTTTCAGGAAACTTTGGTAGTGCAAGGTCGTGCACTTCGGGTACTGTATGGGCTCTTAACGGCACGAACGACATTGACCGCGAACACGGCAACCACCGACACCGCGGAAGCAACTTTATACAAGCCGCAACATCAAGCATCGCGGCAACGCCGCCATGAGGGGAAAGTTATAACTGTTCTGATAGCCCGAAATCCAACACCCCAAACCGAAAATCCCAAACCGTCAGCACCGGCGTATTTGGCAAAGGCTCCTAAGTACCTATATAGCAGAAAGTAGGGATTCTATATTAGGAATGACTATTATGATTTGGGGAAGTATCCCCCCCCTAACAGTACTTAGGGCCGTTTGGGTTTGGCATGATCTCACGACCTGAACAAGGGCCCCCGACAGCCAACTTTTTCGGCTCCACCACAATGACGGGCACGAAACAAGCAGAGGGGGGGCTGGAGGTACAGTATGTTGCAACATATTTCAACCATGGTAGAGTATGTGTGTGCATATATATATATATATATGTATGTAGTATAATCGATACAGTTATATCAGGGACCCCTGAGGGGCACCACTAGAAAGCCTTCACCTCCTGGCCCAATTACTTACAAACACTGAGCGCTTCGCCCTGAACTCTTGCACATCCCTGACAAAAACTAAGAACTGAAACCTACAACATCGGGTTTAGGGTTTAGGGTTTTACAAAATCGGCAAGAACCTCAAATCTACACCCCGGCCCGAAAAAAGCTGTTGAGGAAGCCAGGGCTCAATGCATCCACGTAGGTCGTTGCATGACGGTGGGCTTGCATCTGCAGCTCCACGACCTAGCTTTGGGCTGATGTATACGGCTCAGAGTCTCGGAGTCTCGGGTTTACAGGGTTTGGGATAAAAGGGTTTAGGCCTTATGGGATTGGGGTGTATAGGGGTTTAGGGTTTGGCTTGGGATTTTGGCTGCAACTGTCGGGCTCCAGTGCTTGATGTGTTTATGCATACGGTCTAGGTAGTTGCAAGATTCGAAGGTCAGAGGTGCTTAAGATTGCAAAAGGCTCAGGCTCTGGGTTCCCTAGTATTGGCAATTATTTACGCTTCTACAGTGATACAACGCCACAAACCCCAACGGAACCTTACCGCCCCAAAACTATTCACCCACTGCTCTGGGTTCCCTCTTGGTCCAAAGGACCTTGGCGACGCACTTGCAGAACTCCTCCGCATGAATGGTCACCAACTTGGTGAAGCCGTCCGAGATGAAATCCTGCGCTGATACTCGCATCAGTGTACAACAAACATACGGTAGGGTTTAAGGTTTAAGGTTTATAGGGTTTAGGGCGGAGATCATGAACACCTATGTTGTGTGTGTGAGATTAATTACGGGCCTAAAAAGTTTCGCGAGGTGGAGTGAACTAGAAAGCCCGTATGACGCCGATGCTCTAATCTAGTAGGCTAGTGGAGCCTTAGTACTTTAGTAGCGGCCTTGACAACTAGAACAACCAGAACATGTTCGAAATGGGGTCTGGGGGGGGTGTAGTGGAATGCATAGAAAGAGATATGTTCGGCAAACCTAGGACTACCCATAGGCCCCATAGTAGTGCCTTTTCGGGATTACCTAATAGGATCCCAAATACAAGCCACGAAAAGGAACTACGATGGGGCCTATGGGTATACTCCTGTTTTCTGAGAACCTCCCAGTTACATGCAAGCGAAAATGCAAGCGGCTCAGGTCGGGCTTGGCATGACAAGCAACACGTAGCGGCCTGAAATCATATAAGACATGCAGAATGTAATACCTGTGCTGCTGCGGAGCCGCATCACACACGATATTGGCAATTTTATCTGGCCTCTATACTTGATACTGCGGGGTGCCTTTGGGATGGATGAATTCTCACGATGAGAACCCTAAACCCTAAACCCTAAACCCTGCTGTCTTTGCAGAGCCTGAACGCCAGGCCTTCAACTCTCCAGAACAGCTAGGCCACGCTAAAGGGGGTCATTTGCAGCTCTTCGTCCCTATTGTTGTTATACTTGTTTGTCTTACGAACTCTTATTCTTAATGTGTTATATGCATCCTAAACCCATGTCTCCCCTAAACCCTAAACAGCACTAAACCCTTACACATACTAGTATCATTACGCATTATTCTGAATACATGTTGCATCCTCAACCCATGTCTGCCGAGTCTCGCCGACATGAGCCCACTGGCACCACAGGCACATCTCGGAGATCCACTGGCCCTCCTCACGTTGCTTTCGGTTTTAGGGTTTCGGGCTAAAAAACTTGATTGATGAGGGATTCCAGTTTTATATAAGTTTTTTTTAGGGTTTAGGATTTACGGTTCAGGGTTTCGGACTCAGTCGTGCTTCACGAGGGCTTATAGGTTAGGGTCTAGGGATTCTTTCGAGTTCATAAGACTTACGGTTCAGGGTTTCGGACTCGGGCTTGCATGATGAGGGCTTCTCGTTCAGGTGGCTGCTTTGGAGTTTCGAGTTTGTGTGGATAATTCCTTCACATAAGGCTCCAAATTTCGTTTATTGAGCTTCCTTGGCAAATGTCCTTGGTCTCCATCCAAAGTTAAGGCTTGAGATCTAAAGCAGTAGATCTATTCAGTGGACCCTACAACCTATAATCCCTGACAACACCAAGAACACGGCTTGCTCACCCTACTTCCTTAAGCCAAGAGGGTGTCCAAGCAAGCTTAGGGGCTCAGACTTTGAGAGTATTTAATTCACCAAAAACGCTAAACCTGAACTCCGTGGTCTATAGTCTGCGAGACTTTGAGGCTGTGCAGGGGAGGGGTTCAGGGCTACTTTCGAAGGTTCTTATCAGGGTGTCGATCAGGCTTTTTTAGGAGACTGGGAACCCTAAAGCAAGAAACCACTGGCCCAAAACCCTAAGCCCATAAGCCCTGTAAACTCGATAACCCAAAACTTTAAGCTCTAGAAATGCTGGCAACCCCAAACTTTAAACCCTTCAAACCCTGAACCCCAGAAGCCCTCAACCCTAGAAACCCTACAAACCCCAAACCCTAAACCCCAGAAGCCCTCAACCCTAGAAGCCCTAGAAACCCCAAACCCTAAACCCCAGAAGCCCTCAACCCTAGAAACCCTACAAACCCCAAACCCTAAACCCCAGAAGCCCTCAACCCTAGAAGCCCTAAACCCTAGAACCCCAGCTACCCGAAACTGTAAAGTCCAGAAACCCTAAACCCTGGAAACCGAAACCCTAGAAACCCAAAGCCCCAAAAACCCTAGAACCCTATAGAAACCCTCGAAACCCAACACCCTAAGATCCAGCCTGAACTTGCAGTGCCTTCTCCGTCTGCAAGTAGCGAAAGCTACCTGGCCAAGAGCTATGGAAGAGGCGCAAAAAAGGTTCCTCCGTTTAGGGTTTAATGATCGCTTATAGGGTTTGTAGGAGTTACAGGGATTTATGGGGCTTGGGGTGTTTAGGGCTTTCAGGGTTTATAGGGTTTATTAGGGTTTAGGGCTGTTAGGGTGTGTATAGGGCTTATAGGGTTTAGGGCTTTTGGTTTATGGGGTTTCGGGTTTAGGGCTTTAAGTTTGCTCGCCGAAGGAGTCTACGAGACATCCAATAAAGGAACAAGAATAAGGCGTCTATGGTTCTGATAGAGGGTGATGTAGGGGCCTTAATAGTTAGAATACGGTTTCGGGGTATACATACTATACTATAGCTATCCTAAGGAGTGGCCAAAATACTTCTTTAGGCCCCTATAGTATACAATCGGGAGTCTGGGTAATTAGAGTCCAATTAAGGCTTCGCGATTAAGCGTGCAGTGTTTAGGGCCCGACGGATTCCGAGCCAGTGAGGGGGGTTTAGGGTTTAGGGTTTAAGGTTTAGGGCTTCGGGCCTTAGGATGTCGGAAGAAGCCTCTTGCCAGCTTACGCCCTGACGCCGTAAACCCCGAACTCGACTCGATTCCGAACCCCAGAGATCCATCCCTAACGTAGGGGCCTTAATAATTCGAGTAGGTTCTTGGGGTACATTAAACTATATCATATATCAAGGAAACTCCAAAATAATATAGGTTATGATTAAGGCCCCCCATATTCAACACTAACCCCTAAGAGTTTCAATGAAACCGTGACTACTGTCAGCTGCGTACTGTAGGGGCCTGAACAAGCAGAATAGGGTTTTGGGGTCCTTTAAACTAGAAATATACAAAGGACCCCCCCCCCAAAAAAAAAATAAAAAATATATATATATATATATATAGTCGGTAATTAATAAGGCCCCCCTATATCAAACACTAAACCCTAAGTGTTCCAATGCAAGCGTGACTACTTGGAGGTTCATGGGTAGATATAAGTACCCATCAACCTCCAACCCTAAGGCTCCATGTACCCATATGGTAAATACTTAAGCCTTATATTAAAGTACCTATTTAGGGACCCCTTTAAGGCCTAAGTATCTACTATAAAGGTACATGGAGCCTTTGGGCAAGTACTCAGCTGCGTACCCCTGAAACACTGGCAAGCAAGAGCTCCTCTCGAACCCGGAGCCTCCCGAAACAACTTCCCAGCCAACAAACACTCAGGGTTTAGGGTTTCGGGTTTAGGGTTCAGGGTTTAAGGTTTAGAGATTAGGGTTTAGGGATTAGGGGTTTAGGGATTAGGGTTTAGGGATTAGGGTTTAGGGTTTAGGGTTTAGGGTTTAGGGATAAGGGTTTAGGGTTTAGGGTTTAGGGATTAGGCTTTAGGCATTAGGGTTTAGGGATCAGGGTTTAGGGTTTAGGGTTCAGGGTTTAAGGTTTAGAGATTAGGGTTTAGGGATTAGGGGTTTAGGGTTTGGGGTTTGGGGTTTAGGGTTTAGGCATTAGGGTTAAGGGATCAGGGTTTAGGGTTTAGAGATCAGGGTTTAGGGTTTAGGGTTTAGGGATTAGGGTTAAGGGTTTAGGGATTANNTTTAGGGATTAGGGTTTAGCGTTTAGATACCCTAAAGCTCCTGTGGTGGCTGACAGTCAAAAGCGAACGAACAACGGCCTGCCTTGCGTGGGCCAGAACAGAATTTCGGCTTCAGTACCATTCGCGAAGATAAGGTCGTCCTGTCTCCGGTCACAATCATAATCATATAGGACAAAAAAGTTTGGCTATGGGCCTGAATACTACGATCCCTACTTTGAAAGCCATAGAGGCGGGGTCTATATGAGTATAGAATGGGGGTCCATCTTACAATTCAAAAGGAAAGGCCTGATGCAACGACAAGGTCATGAACAGAAAAGGCTTCAGCAACAACATCGTCATCAGCGTCATCACTACTGCTGCCATGATCAGCACTAATTATCAGCACCATGTTCAGAATCGACAGCATGATATGCATGATCATCGCCATCCTCTTCTTAATCACCGCGATCATCGCCATCACCAGCAGAACTGCACCACCTTCCTCAGACGTGTCATAGACATCGTCTGTGTCAGTTAGGCTCGACACAATTAACATCAAGATTGGCATTGTCAACCTTACAACATAATCAACAGCAGCCTCAATGTCCGGCAAGGACCGCCGCCACCGTGCACCCTATTCTCATTGCTGCTTGCAATACTGGATCTGGCTCGCAATGGGGAGTCCTTCTTCTGTCGCTTATCTACGTTTGACGCATCCCTCCCCCCCCCCTTCCGAAAAAAAAAAAAAACACACATCCGACAGCGACGTCGCCTGCATTCAACACTCGAAACCTGTTCATGTTTCTAGTCGTCTGCTTCGATCTATCCACTCTAAAGTCAGACCCTCGATAGATAATTAGACAAGTGGAATGATGCTTCCCATGTGAGAGACTACTAAGCTTTCTTGTCTGCATCACGTGGCACAGAGAAATCCAGGATCCGAAACCTGACCATCTCGCATCTTCCACACAGGTCCTACCATTTGCCTCGAAGTCTCTGCGGTGCCGAGTTCCCACTATTAACAGGCCACCTACATGGACAGCAGCAAACCCACACCCCTCAACCTTACACCACACCCTGAATCCGAAACACTGGATTCCGTAAATCCTGCATCCTAGACCCTGAATCCTGCATCCTAAACCCTAAATCCCTGAACCC